TTTCCATTGGTTATTATGCTGATTCTGTTGATTGTGATGTGGTACCTATGTAAGCTTGTTCACTGTTATTGGGTCATCCTTGGGAACATGATAATGATGCTACACACCATGGTAGAAGTAATAAATACACTTTTGTGCATAAAGGGAAGAAAATTACTTTGGTACCTTTGACCCCTGCTCAATTTGTACAAGCTGATAGAGAACGCGATGCTAGTTTGAATGATGTTCAATCTAAAAACCAGCAAGTTGCTAATTCTATTTTCCCACCTAAAAAAGATAAGTCTACATCTATTTCTAAGGCTGAGGGGATTAAATTGAAGGGTGGGGTTATGCTTGCAACAAAATGTGACTTTGCTAAAATTTCGGATGATGATATTTGCTATGCTTTGGTATGCAAATGAGCTATGTTTTCACTTGATGATATTGTTAGCTCGGTGCCTCCTGCTGTCACTAACCTTTTGTAGGAGTATGAGGACATTTTCCAGCTGAGATACCCCTGGGACTACCACCTATGCGAGGGATAGAGCATCAAATCGATTTGATTCCAGGAGCAACCTTGCCCAACCGTGCTGCCTATCGAACCAATCCTGAGGAGACTAAGGAAATTTAGCGGCAAGTCCAAGACCTTTTGGACCACGGGTATGTACGTGAAAGTCTTAGCCCTTGTGTCGTTCCAATACTTTTGGTTCCTAAGAAAGATGGAACTTGGCGTATGTGTGTTGATTGTAGAGCCATCAATAATATTACTATTCGGTATCGTCATCCTATTCCTAGGCTAGACGACATGCTTGATGAGTTGTGTGGCTCTATAGTTTTCACCAGATTGACTTGCGAAGTGGCTACCACCAAATTAGAATGAAACTTGGAGATGAATGGAAAACCGCGTTTTAAACCAAATTCGGGTTGTATGAGTGGTTAGTAATGCCTTTTGGTTTGACAAATGCACCTAGCACTTTCACGCGCTTAATGAATGAGGTTTTAAGAGCTTTTATTGGTCATTTTGTGGTAGTTTACTTTGATGATATATTGATTTATAGCAAGTCTTTTGATGAACATATGGATCACTTACGTGTTGTTTTTAATGCCTTACGTGATGCACGTTTATTTGGTAACCTTGAGAAGTGCATCTTTTGCACGGATCGAGTTTCTTTTCTTGGCTATGTTGTAACTCCATAGGGAATTGAGGTGGACTAGATGAAAATTGAAGCCATAAAGAGCTGGCCGGTTCCCCAAACCATCACACAGGTGAGGAGTTTTCTTGGTCTTGCAGGATTCTACCGCCGCTTTGTCAAAGATTTCAGCACCATTGCTGCCCCATTGCATGAGTCGACGAAGAAAGGGGTGGTGTTTCATTGGGGAAAGGCACATGAGGAGTCCTTTGACACTTTCAAGGACAAGCTCACACACGCACCATTGCTGCAACTTTCAAACTTTGGTAAGACTTTTGAGCTAGAATGTGATGCTAGTGGAGTTGGCATTGGAGGTGTTTTGATGCAAGATGGTAAACCCATTGCTTAATTTAGTGAAAAATTGCATGGCCTTGTTCTTAATTATTCCACGTATGATAAGGAATTGTATGCACTTGTTCGTTCTTTAGAGACGTGGCGTCATTATTTGTGGCCTAAAGAATTTGTTATTCATTCTGATCATGAATCGCTTAAGTATCTTCGCTCTCAAAATAATCTGAATCATAGGCATGCTAAATGGGTTGAATTTATTGAATCTTTTCCTTATATTATCAAACACAAGAAAGGGAAGGATAATGTGATTGCTGATGCTTTGTCTAGAAGATATACATTGTTGTCCCAACTTGATTGTCGGATTTTTGGTATTCAATAAATAAAAGAACAATATGCGCTTGATCCTGATTTTAAGGGTGTGTTGCTTAATTGTAGAGAGGGACGTACATGGAACAAGTTTATGATCAATGATGGGTTTTTGTTTAGAGCTAACCGCCTATGCATTCCAGTTGGTTCCGTTCATCTTTTGTTGTTGCAGGTGGCACATGGAGGCGGATTGATGGGACATTTTGATGCCAAGAAGACGGAGGAGGTGCTGTCCACACACTTCTTTTTTCCAAGGATGAGGCAGATGTAGAGCGGTACGTGGCTCGGTGTGCCACATGTCAAAAAGCTAAGTCACGGTTGAACCCACATGGTTTGTATATGCCTCTTCCTATTCCTTCTACTCCTTGGGCTGATATATCTATGGATTTTGTGTTGGGTTTGTCAAGGACTAAGAGGGGGAGGGATAGTATTTTTGTGGTGGTTGATCATTTTTCTAAGATGGCATATTTTATTCCTTATCATAAGAGTGACGATGTTGTTCATATTGCTGACCTTTTCTTTCAAGAAATCGTTCGCTTGCATGGTATGCCTTCTACTATTGTTTCAGATCGTGATGCAAAATTCTTGAGTCTTTTTTAGCGCACGTTGTGGAATAAGTTGGGGACCAAGCTGCTGTTTTCTACAACATGTCATCCCCAAACTGATGGGCAAACTGTGGTTGTGAATCGAACATTGTCCACCATGTTGAGAGCAATTTTGAAGCGCAATTTGAAGATGTGGGAAGAGTGTTTACCGCATGTGGAGTTTGCATATAACAGGACAGAACATTCCACCACCAAGGTAAGTCCTTTTCAGGTAGTGTATGATTTTAATCCCCGTGCTCCTATTGATCTTTTGCCTTTACCTACCACTAAGAGAATACATAGTGATGCTAGAGAGCATGCTGATTTTATTCGTAAGTTGCACGAAACAGCTAAAGCAAGTATTGAAAGAATGAATGAAAAGTATAGAATTGCTGGTAGTAAAGGTAGAAAAGAGATTAAACTTGAACCGGGTGATTTGGTTTGGTTACATTTGAGAAAAGATAGATTTCCTGAGCTGCGTAAGTCTAAATTAATGCCAAGAGCAGCTGGTCCTTATAAGATCATTGAGAAAATAAATGATAATGCCTACAAACTTGAGTTGCCACCCGAGTTCGGGGTTAGTCCCACCTTTAACATTGCAGATTTGAAACCTTATTTGGGAGAAGAAGATGAGCTTGAGTCGAGGATGAGTCCATTTCAAGAGGGGGAGGATGATGAGGACGTCACTCCTTTAGATGCACCCATTGATCCTCCAACCATTATGCAAGGTCCAATGACCCGAGCTCGAAGGCGACAACTTAATTTAGAGGTGAGCTCGTTCTTAAGTGATCCTTTTCATACTTTTGAGCATAGATTGCTACCTAATGATGTTATATTGATTAGGAACATTGGAGAGGGTCATGAGGGACTTAGAGGAAGAGGTGGAGGCAATGATGACTAGCAAGGACATCCAACAAGAACCGGAGGCCCGGTCCAACATGATTTCGAGTCTGCCTCGGCCTCCAAGACCAGTCTGCCTTAAACTAGTCATCCAGGACGCATCCGGACTCCGTTTTCGACAATCCACATATGGATGGAAAACTAATTTGATAAGGAAGCCAATCCAAGTGGTCTCACATCAAAATTTGTTTGGAATCAATGGGAATCGTGGTCACAAGTTAGTGTCCAGAATCTGCCAGGGTGCTGCGACACCGTCTTTTGGTCCGTTGGACCATGTATCGTGTTTGGGCCATTAGGGGCGCGTCCAGGGGTCTTACACGACCCTAGAGTCTTCATAAACAGCCACCACCCCTCCATTAGGGTTTGGGTTTTGCTTAGATTATTCTGTCAAGAACAGTTTCGCCGTTCATCGGTTTGTGAGACCCCAACTTCGTGAGATTAATCATTCATCTGCAATTTGGTTGTGTTCTTTCTTGTTCTTGCTTGTGTTCTTTGTTGCATAGGCAGGGATTAGACTTCTTGGCGAGGTCAACCTGGTCCGTGACTTGGTTGATAACCAGAGGAGCTATGGTGCTAAGATTGCAGGGTTCGATCTTTCGATCTGAAGCCGGATCAGTGTGTCATTCTCTGCCACAACGATAGTTAACTCTACCTGACGGTAGATCGGGATCCCCGTCTCCATTAATAGTCCAATGAACTTCATGTTGAACAATAAAGAGAAGGTAATCAGCACCAGGGCAAACAGAGTAAAAAATGAGTAATTAAGTGCACTGTGCTTAAAACAAAGTTTCAGTATTAAAGCTATATTTGAACGATGGCTACAGTATCAGACATTTTAGATAAGAAACATAGTATTTCCATTTCAATCAATACACTTTAAACCGTAAAACATGGGGCCAGTAGCAACAGGTAAAAGTTATTCAAAAAGGAAGACATCTACCAAAAAAATGTACGGAGAAACACTAATATTGCATAATGCAGCATCTTAAGGCATGATCTATTGGTTCTCAATGCAGAACTGAAGATTACGTAAAATACAATGCAGACATTTGCATTATTATAAAAATTTATTGTAAGTTATCAGCAAACCAGAAGAAAAGTTTCAATTTGATCCAACCTGCTGCTCGATATCTGTATGGATAAACACGTAAAGGATCCAATTGGGTCACGGTTTGCAAATCTAGCATAGTTTGTTCCCGTTCGCAATATTCTGAACGTTTCCCATAAGCCGAAGCATTGTTTTTAGCGTTTTCTATCAACTTTGTCATCTCTTCATATGCAGCTTACCTGTTGTTCCTGAGAAAATGAACACGAGTAAAATACATGATCAAGTATCCTGGCAAACTTAACTGTAATATTGTGGCCCAAACAAGATTGTTTAGCCAAAAGTTTCTAAATATCTTCTATAGTATAAGAATCACAATAATAACAAACAGACTCATATTATGACAACAAAACATATATCTATATCACAAAAAGACCAAGCAAGCACTCAAGTGCTAACAAAACAAAAAATAGAGGTAGTATGTGTTGTACAAGTAGATATGTCTAACATGTAATAAATTAGCAAAGAGGGTCAGAAGTTTCTTCTCATTTCATCAAGAACTAATAATTCAAACATTGAAATAAGCCAAAGGAATGGACTACATATATGAGGACGATAGTATTGACAATCAGCTGTGACCACAACTTAGCTGTTCATGACAACCAATTTTATGCGAGAGTCCCACACGGCATCTAAATCCATTACCTCGTCCTAGCTTATGCAGTAGCTACAATTAGCATATAAACTAAACAGAGCAGTAGAAAAACAAAACGAGAAATTCACCTTGCCGCTGAATTTCTTCTCAAGCTCCCTGACGAGCCTGACGTGGATCTTCCTAAAGGCCTTGCGCAGGTGGTACAGGACGTGGATCACAACAGCCTTCCTGCTCTCGGCAACATCCATCTAGCTGCAAAGTCACAACAAGAATCATCACCCAATGTCCAAACCAAAAACCACAGGCTACTACATCTCAATAGGTGACAACAGATAGTAGGAAGAAACAGTAATCTTACATAGCATTGTTGATGTACAGGTCCTTGAGGTCGCTCTTGAGCACCTGGTTGCCATTCTCCAGGTCAAAGAAAGCCTACAGGTACAGCAAAAACCAGCCAAAAACACATCACAACCCCGACACAAGGGCAACCACACACAGAGCACCAGTCCGAAGGAAAGGAAACGCAACAATGGGAGGAGAGAGGAGGGGGATTGGCACTCAGCTCACCTAGGTGACGGAGTCCTCAAACTTAGAGGGCTCAAGGCCCTTCTCCTTCTAGATCTTCTTCCTCACGGTGTACATCTTGCCTTCCCTTCGTCGCCGAACCCTGCAGCCAAGGAGGAGATTCGGGAAGCAGAGCATGGATCAGCAACCAGTGCACGGGGAGATAATAATCAGAGAACACAGCGCCAGATTGATGGTGGACTCAGAGGCGGAGATGGGATGCCTGAGCGGGAGGAGATGGGGTGGGGAAGCAGTGAAGGCACTGGCGCTAAGGTTTGGAGGAGGCATGGGTGGATGCTCAGCTGGGAGCTCTTATACGCTTCGCTAAAACCCTAGCCTCGGGGAGTGGGCCGACCAGGCTAGGTGGAATGCCAGTACGTGAGATGGGCCAAGTATTTGAGAAGCCTATTTTGTGGCTAGACTTGAGAGGTGTGTAGGGGCCTCTACGTACTAGCCGTCCCTACAAATCAACCTATTTGTAGGGGTGGCTCTTATCACCAGCCGCCCCTAAAAATTTGTCCTATTGCTACAAACATTTTTTTGTAGTAGTGGAAGACCCATAGGGGAGGAGCACATGGAGGTTGCCCTAGGACTAGCAAGGCCGCCTAGAACGCTGCCAAATCTCATCGGAAGACGTGACGAACAACAAGGGGTTGGAAAAGAGGGTAAAAGAGTATTCATAGATTGATTTTGATGATTGGATAGTTTGGAACTCAATCTCAGCCGTGATCCTCTCATATATATAGAGGGGATGGTCTTATCCCACTAGGGAACAAGTCCAAATCATAATCTCTAAGTTTCTCACACCCAAAACATGCCAAAACTGACTTTTGGGCGTAACCAAGTCGGTTTCTCGGTGGAGTCGGCTTTGTCGATAGGGCATTGCGGGTTTGGTCAGCCCCCGCAGGCTACTTCAGGGCCAGTCAAATTAGCCGACTGGGGCAGTTGGCTAAGCCGACTGTGGGGGGTTATAATGGGAATGGGGATCCCGATCTTTCGTCAGGTACAGTGGTAACTATCGTTGTGGTAGAGAATGACACACCGATCTGGCTTCAGATCAAAAGATCGAACCCTGCAATCTTAGCACCATAACTCCTCTGGTTATCAACCAAGTCACGGATCCGGTTGACCTTGCCAAGAAGGCTAATCCCTGCCTGCGCAACGAAGAACACAAGCAAGAACAAGAAAGAAAGCAACCAAATTGCAGATGAATGATTAATCTCACGAAGTTGGGGTCTCACAAACCGATGAATGGCACAACTATTCTTGACAGATTAATCTAAGCAAAACCCAAAACCTAATGACAGCAGTGGCATATGATTATAAAGGTCTTAGGGTCATCTCCTACCCTGGACGCGCCCCCTAATGGGCCCAAACATGATACACGGTCCAACGGACCAAAAGATGGTGTCGTAGCACCTTGGCAGATTCTGGATGCTATCTTATTTCAATGATTACCATTGATTCTGAAGGCCTTTTGATATGATACCACTTGGATTGGCTTGCTTATCAAATTATCTTTCCAACCATATGTGGACCGTCGAAAACGGAATCTAGATGTGTCCTGGGTGATCAGTTTAAGGCAGACTGGTCCTGGAGGCCGAGGCAGACTCGAACTTGAGTTGCTTTGGGCCTCCACCTCTGGGACTCAAACCGAATTAGCCTCGTACCTCCTTCTTGACTTGGACACCTTTGCTGGCCTCCTATCCCTCCATACCATGTGCCAAAAATGGTCATATGCATGGGTGTCATGTCCTCATCATCCTTCCCTTCTTGACGAAAAGCCATCCTCGGCGTCGATTGTGCTTGAAACTGATCCTGCACAACACAAAGGAGAACGGGGTTGCGAAGACAAAGGGAACTGAAATAATTGTGAAAAGGAATGTGACCATGTCTCCATGTTTCTAGCATATCATCTCGCGTAAAAATTTCAGCAAGCATGTAGACTCCATGATCCGAATGCACACGATATATGTCAACACTATCCTGCAAAAGATTAGAACTAACCAAAGACAATGCAGGAATAGATGGTCTAGCAGACATATGTAGCAACCAACAATGCTCCCCTTCTTGGAAGTGAACTTGTTTCTTTGAGGAAATGTTTGTATTATTATGGCTGCCCTCTAAATGATCATAATCTTGTACAACAAAAGGAGAATTCATATTACTATGAATGTATACTCGATGTATCATATATTATCCTTTGTTGTTATATTTGCCAATAACATGATATGTGTGTTTAGAGAACCAAGGCAAATCAGCATATTTAAAAAGGCTCTCCTTCAAACAATCTAGGTTACACAAAACATCAAATTCAATGTAACCCAAAGTATGTAAAGAAGACAACAATTTGAGCTCATCAATTTTAGTAGCAATATGAATAACATGTGTATTTTTAGCACAAGTGACTAGTTTGAAAACATGTAAAACTAAAGCATCATCAACCAATTCATCTTTATCATAAGGAACATCAAGCAAAATATCATCATCAGAAATTTCAGCAAAGTCACATTTTGTTGCAAGCATAACACCACCCTTCAATTTAATCCCTTCGGCCCTAGAAATTGGTGTAGACTTATCCTTTTTAGGTGGGAGAATAGAATTAGCAACTTGCTGATTTTCAGATTGAACATCATTCAAACTAGCATCGCGTTCTCTATCAGCTTGTACAAATTGAGCAGGGGTCAAAGGTACCAAAGTAATTTTCTTCCTTTTATGCACAAAAGTGTATTTATTACTTCTACCATGGTGTGTAGCATCATTATCATGTTCCCAAGGATGACCCAATAACAGTGAACAAGCCTACATAGGTACCACATCACAATCAATAGAATCAGCATAATAACCAATGGAAAATGAAACTCTACAAGTTTGTGTTACCTTTGCTTTTTCAGAATTATTTAACCACTGAATATGGTATGGACATGGGTGCGGGCGTGTGGTCAAGCCAAGATTCTTGACCAAATTAGAACTCAGCAAATTATTGCAGCTACCTCCATCAATAATGACACGTGCTCGACGGTTGCTGATGATGAAGAAAATCTGGAACAAGTTATGGCGTTGTAGCTTCTTAGGTTGCTGTACTTGTGAACTGAGCACCCGCTGTACAATGATGCTCCTATAGGACGTCGTGGCCTCGTCACCAAGGACTTCGCCATCCTCCTCATCTGTATCTTGGTCTTCTTCATCCTCAATGTTAGAGGTGCTGATGTAACCATCTTCTATAGTAATGTATGCCTGCTGACTTGGGTAGTCCTTCTGCACATGGCCAATGCCATGGCAACGATGACACTGAATGCCCGAAGTGCGTTCTATCGATGCAACGGATGAGGCACTCTTGGTAGGCACCTACAAAGAATTTTTACCTGAATCTAAAGGTTGTGCGGGAGGTGCCTTAGGCGTAGCGGTAACTCCAGAGGCTGCTAGTCGCTTGCTTGCTGGTGGAGGTGCCCGAAAAGTGGTTGGCTTGGTCAGCCCCGAAGATGGTTCCGAGCATGGCATGTATGTGGTGCTGACCTTGCTCCTGCCCTGCTGTTCATGCCCCTGCAATTCCTTTTCTGCAAGCATAGCAAACTGAAACAACTGGTTGACAGTGTTAAATTCTTTATAATCAACAATGTCGTGAATCTCGTGCCACAAACCTGAATAAAAATGACAAATGGAATCTTCGTTCCCCTCCACAACACTACAATGCATCAATCCCTTTTGGAGCTCACCATAGTAATCCTGTATAGATTTCTCTCCTTGTTCTAAACGCATCAATTTCTTACGCATAGCTTTCTTAAGTTCTTCCTACGTACCAGGTAAAGCATCATGTGCAGCTAGCCCATTCCACCAAATAATGGCAAAGTCCTTAAACTCACTAGTAGCTTGTCAAACTCTATGATGCTCAGGCACACGGTGGGCACTAAACTTTTGTTCTACCGTCATCTCCCAATCAAGATATCCCTCAGCATCATAATGACCCGAAAAAGATGGTATTGTGAACTTAATCTTAACATAAGGATCATCAGGCACACAGTGATTATTACCTTGATGGTGGTGGACACCACCCATACCAGTCGTGTTGCGACGAAGACGTCGTCGTAATCTTGCTTGTCGGAAGGCTGCTCGATCTATGTTCCCAGTGGCATCATGCACCGTGTCTTCTGGCAAGAGACCATCGGTGTTGCTACCAGAGACATCGTTGTTGACCGCTACCAAGGTTTCCAACTCAGTAACCTTATCGGTTAGCATGGAAATTTGTTTGTCCAACCTCTCCATGTTGTTGCCAATGTTGAGTTCAATGAGTGCGTCAGTGACGGCCTTCCTGATGGCCTCATTCATCCTTTTTGGGGCATTATCTACAGCAGCTTGCAGTTGCTCTTGGCTGACACACTCATTGAAATCCTTAGGGCTGTTATCTCTAGTCTGATCACCTCCTGCCATTGTAAACACAAAAATAGGAACAAACGGTGAAGGTTATCCCTACCAAATGACTACGTGGTTGTAGTGGTGTCACTTTTCATAGCAAGTGGAAGCGTCTTACCAAGCTCTTACAAAGTTCTTACCAACACAAGCAGTGGACGGTACAACTGGCGGCTGGTTCGTGATACCTATGAGGCAATGGTACAGAGATTGCAAGGCCCTTTTTCCGTACTAATCTGAAGAGTTTGTGGAGCTTGGAAGGCACACAAAGAATAATATGTATATTTGGCACACAAGTTAGTAACAGAAAATAATGCTGAATTATAGTCCAAAGTACTTGTTCTCGTTGCTGATCTAAAATGTTCGAAGTACCAGGTGTGTGACAAACAAATATGGTGGATAGCAAGGTGGCAGGTGTTTGAAAAACAAGTATGGTGGATAGCAACAACAACACAAATAAGAAACCAGACAGCACACGCTAACATAGCTCACTTTGGCCTTCTCTATGTGCTCCTCTAGATATTGTTCCTCTTTTGCCCCTCTTTTTTCTATTTTTTTGGGTTGTCGTTGTTTTTTTGGGAAATTATGACTTTTTCTTTTTATTTTTTTGATATTTTTCCTTCACTTAGGAGCACAAAATAAAGTAACCACAGAAAATATGAGCTTAAACA